TGATTTTATTTACTTATTTGACAGAGAGAGACAGCGAGAGAGGGAACACAAGCAGGGGGAGTGGGAGAGGGAGAAGCAGGCTTCCTGCCAAGCAGGAAGCCTTATGCGGGGCTCGATCGCAGGACCCTGGGATCATGACCCGGGCCAAAGGCAGATGCTTTACGACTGAGCCACCCAGGCGCCCCGGTGACTCACCTTCTAACCCAGCTGGGCCCCTTTCTGGCTCTGTGTCCTTGGGTAGATCACCTCACCCTCACCTCTCTGGGCCTCAGTTTCCCCATCCGTAAAGCAGAAAAATAATAGAGATTTCGCTTGATTGCTGTGTGAATGAAGGTGGATGACATTTGGAAAGCCTAAAGAGGACTCTAAATAAACAGGAACTTTTATGAGTACTAATAACATTGTAAGCAGTCATAACTTAGTCGGCTTCCTTCCTTTTTTTTTTTTTTTCCTTAACTGTGAATTTCTCAGGAACAGAAAATCTGACTTTTATTTCAGTGCCTGGCAAGATATCCCATAAAACAGGAAATAATAATCATGACGCTAAGGACAATAGCAAACGCTTCTACGGGCACAATACTAAGCCCTCCGTGTTTATTAATTCAAAATTCAGTTCTGCCCTGGGCCGCCCTCAGCCTCCTCTCGGCTCCGTGGGGTGGGAGTTGTAGGGCCGGCTGATAAGTACAATTCTCCCCTCCCTAACCCCGCCCTAGGGTTCCCGGAGCGAGTGGAGCTGTTACCCCTACCCCGCTGGCAGCCCGTGGGTGAAAACTTCACTCTGCGCTGCCAGGTGGCCGGTGGGACGCCCCGGGACAGCCTCTTCGTGGTGCTGCTCCGCGGGGAGGAGGAGCTGAGCCGGCAGCCGGCCTCTAGGGAGCCCGCCGAGGTCGAGGTCACGGTCCCGGTGCTGGCGGGCAGAGACGACCACCTCGCCAATTTCTCCTGTCGCACAGACCTGGACCTGAGGCCCCAAGGGCTGAGACTGTTCCAGAACATCTCGGCCCCCAGGCAGCTCCGAACTTTTGGTGAGGGAAGGGACTGCAGAGGGTGGGTGATGAGCTGAGCCAGATAGGGGTGCCCTGGCCGGGAGGTTTCTTGCGAATGGAGTGGACTGGACCAACGGCTTCTGGGAAGCCATGCCCTTGGCCACTGAGGACCATGCAGCCTCAGTTGGGAGACTCGAGGCCGCGGTAACTAACGAGGAGCCTAAGCGGGTGTGTTCTGGGACGGGGTGATCCAGGCCGCAAGATATCCTGGGAAAGAAGGACCCTAGTTCGGGGCAGTGAGCGTCTCATGGGGAAAGGGCCATCCGCAGCTGTGGGAGACCTCCTCCTGCTCACGCCTGCCCTCCTCCCCAGCACTGCCCATGACCACTCCACACCTCGTTGTCCCTCGGTTCTTGGAGGTGGGAACGACTTCGTCCCTGAACTGCACCCTGGACGGGCTGTTCCCGGCCTCCGAGGTCCAGGTCCAACTGGCGCTGGGGCACCAGACTCTGAATTCTACGGTCGAGAGCCACGGGAACACGATCACGGCTACGGCCACAGCCACAGCGAGCGTGGGGCAGGAGGGCACCCAGGAGGTTATCTGCAACATGACATTGGGGAGCGACAGCAGGGAGGCCCGGGAGAACTTGACCATCTACAGTAAGAGGGGGCGGAGGCAAGACTGCAAGCCCGGCGAGGCAAGGGGCGGGGCTTCGGCATGCGGAGCGGAGAGACATATATATGGGGCGGAGACTAAACTGGAGAGGGGGGGCCTGAGCCTGCAGAGAGGGAGGGGTTGTTGTGTGGGCGGGGCCTAAGTTACCTGAAGGGTATAGCCAGAGTACCCCAAGTTGTACTGGGGCGGAGCGGGGGGGGGGTTGCACAGAGTAGCATGAAGGCGTGGCCTAGATACTCCGAGAGGAAAGAGGCAGGTGGAGGGCGGGGATTGACCGATGTGAGGGGCGTGGTCAGTAAACTCCAGGGCAATGCCGCCTCTTCAGGCTTCCAGGGTCCCATCCTAAACCTGAGTGAGCGCAGCGCCCCCGAGGGAACCGCAGTGGTTGTGACTTGCTTGGCCGGACCCCGAGTCCGGGTCACGCTGGAGGGTCTTCCAGCTGCGGGGCCTGGACAGCCTGCCCAGTTTCAGCTAAACGCCACCGAGAGGGACGACAGGCGCATTTTCTTCTGCAATGCCAGCCTCGAGATGGATGGGAATATCTTACAAAGAAACAGCAGCGTCCAGTTGCGTGTCCTGTGTGAGTAGGTCACTCTGATCTTTCTTTATTTTTTTTTAAAGATTTTATTCCTTTATTTGAGAGAGAAAGCACATGAGAGGGGGGAGGGTCAGAGGGAGAAGCAGACTCCCTGCCGAACAGGGAGCCCGATGCGGGACTCGATCCAGGGACTCCAGGATCATGACCTGAGCCGAAGGCAGTCGCTCAACCAACTGAGCCACCCAGGCGCCCTCACTCTGATCTTTAAACCCTTGCTCCCCTGGTTTGGTGGGAAGACTCTCCCTTGCCCCATTGTGCCTCGAGTGTGTCTAATCATTTGACCGATCCACAGACGGTCCCAAGATTGACCAAGCCAAATGTCCTCAGCGCTTGACGTGGAAAGATAAGACTATCCATCTCCTGCAGTGCCAGGCTCGGGGCAACCCGGACCCCCAGCTGCACTGTTTCCAGGAAAGCTCCGGGGTCGAGGTGCCCATCGGGATCCCATTCCTCGTCGGGTTAAACTATAGTGGTACCTACTCCTGCAAGGCGGCCAGCTCACGAGGCACACACACTTTGACTGTGGTGATGAACGTTCGGGGTGAGCCAAGACGGGGCCGCGGGTCTAGATGGGCAAGCCTGGGCGGGGGGCGAGGGGGGCGGGGCGGCAGAGCGTGTTTATTTATTCCTTGCTTCTCTGCATAGCTCAGAACTCCCACGCCGTCACCATCGTCCTGGGGGTGTTAGTGGTTCTGGGCGTGGTGACTATCGTCGCGGCCTTACTGTGTGTCTTCAGTGTGCAGAAGCGGAGTGACATCTACCATGTGAACCAGGGGAACACTTGGTTGCCCCTGACATCTAAGCAGCCCGAGGTAGTCACCTCGGGCGAGAATCCATCCTGAGCCTCCAGCTGGGGTAATGCTGGACCAAGGACGATGGGGGTTTGGCGGTATCCCCGGGTTCCGCACCAATAAAGCGCTCAAAATCCGGAGTCTGTGGTTTGATTCCACGTGTGCTTAGGAGCTCACCCACTGCGCCTCGCGTCCTTTGAGTGACATCTCTGTGGCAGAAAGGGGTGGGGCCTGTGGCGCCCAGGCGCGGCTTGAACTCTGAGAGGCGGGCTGGGCCTTAGCCAATGGGCTGAGGGGGTGGGAAAAGAGGTGGGGCTTCTCTTGGCCAATCGGCGGGCGCGCCCTCGTTGCCGCTCTATGCCGCTCCGCCCAGGCTCGCTGGTCCCAGAAGGCGCCGGGTTTCCCAAGATGGCGGCCGACGTGTCCGTTAGTCACCGGCCCCCGCTGAGCCCGGAGGCTGGGGCCGAGGTTGAAGCTGATGATGCCGCGGAGCGCCGGGCGCCGGAAGAAGAACTGCCGCCGCTAGATCCAGAGGAGATCCGGAAACGCCTAGAACATACCGAGCGCCAGTTCCGTAACCGCCGCAAGATACTGATCCGGGGCCTCCCGGGGGACGTGACCAACCAGGTATGGGGGGGGGGGAGCGTGGCGGGAAATACCACCGTGCGCGTGCGCGGGGGGAACCGGGCGACACCAACGGTGGCCTGCGCTGGGGGGCGTCGGCGGGAGAGTCCAAGCGCGGGATCAGTGCGGGATCGGGAGAAACCAAGAGCAGGATGTGTGTGGGGGGAAGGTGATGGAGGGAAAAACCAACTTTGGACTGAGGGAGGACGTTGCTAGGGGCGACCACAGGTTGGACGAAACCAAGTGATTGAAGGGGGCGGGGAACTAACTGGAAGGGGGCGGGCAACTTTGGCCTTGTTGGGGGATTGTGAATGGGCTGCTATATTGGGACTGTGGAAGTAGGGATGCCGGTTGCTCCCTGCTCTGATTGTGTTTTTCCCCACCCCCTCTACGATGGGGTGGCGGGACCTTGTATCCAGAAGTTTCAGGGTTGACTAGAGTATGCCTTTCCATAGCACGCGTTTACCGACTCCTCTGAAAGATCCGAAGTTGTAGTAGCTCCTGGGGTCTTTCTTCTCCAAAAGCCTCTGGATTAATTTGGAAAAAATGGAGTCTAGTGCTCCCAGCTCACAGACCTGCAGACCTCCCCCACTGTTCTGTGCCCCCTCCCTTGACTGATCTGGCCAGGGGTGCCCTTCTTTTGGGGCCTACATGGGGCAGGGCTTCCCAGTGCTCTTTGGACTCAAGGAGATTGCATCTAGTCTGCCCTGCCTTGCCACAGTGGGATGGGTTCTTTCTCCCTGCTGCTGAGAAATCTTTGCTCTCTGACCCACCTGCACATCTGCCACTGACTCCCTGCCCACGAGTAGGCACATGGCTGGTGGGGTCTCAGAGTGTGGGGAGGGGCAGACTTGGGGACAGACCTGGGGCAGGTGCCACTAAGTATGGTCTGGTTTTTTCCTAGAGCTGGCTCTCCTAGTGCCTACTATCTCTCAGCTGAGAACACTCCATCTCCTTCAGGGTGCACATTGTGTCTGGCAGTAGCAGGCCCCAGAGTTTGCCCGCAAAGCTGGCTTACCAGAAGACCAGCCCTGTCAACAGGAGGGAATTGGGAGGCACGTGAAGCCATGCACTTTGGGCTTATTAAGTACACAGGGTCCCCAGTCAGGTACCCCCTGTGTGGCATTCCCTCTACTGCCCTGACCAGCTGCATGACCTTGGACATGTTCCTTTGCCTCTCTGAGCCTCAGTTTTTTCACCTACAAAATGGGTTAATGCCCAGTTTGTTGGGATGTTGGAGAGAGTCAGACTTGCTAACTGAGGTTCAGATGAGTTGAAGTTATTTCCCTAAGGGCAGAGCTGGGACTTGAACTCAGACCCATCCAAGTCTTAGGGTGTGTTGTGTTAGTTCAAAGCTTGGAGTCTGCAGCTAGGCTCTGGCTCTGAATCCCGGCTCTGCATGTTTCCTCATTTGTAAGATGGGGATGCTAATTGATCTGCCTTCATAGCTGGTCTACATGGAGGTGGCACTGGGTCGCTCCCTTCAGCCCCTGGTGACTTCATATCCTTTGGCTTCTCTCTCCACAGGAAGTGCACGACCTGCTCAGCGACTATGAGCTCAAGTACTGTTTTGTGGACAAATACAAAGGGACAGGTTTGTGGGGCTGTGTGTTGGGCTAGTGGCAGGAGGTGACAGTCCCTGAAACTGGGAGGGTCCACACCCAGTGTTTCCTGTCCTGAACTTGGGGCCCAACCTTGTCCCCTAGGCCGTGCAGGAAAGACTGTTGTCCCACTCTGTCTCTCATCCTGGGTGCCCATTGTCAGGCGGCCTTGATGTTCCTCCCCTGGGCTCCCCAGCCAGATATCTAGGTATTGGGCTCCCCTCTTCCCCACCCCATTCCCCCCAGCCAGCCCATCACCCAGACCTGTCTGGTCTTCTCCAAGTCCTCCAGAACAATTGGCGCCCCTCCATTCCCTCAACTTCCATCTGATCCACGCCCCCTCCATCTTTGCCAAAAAGGCAGCCTCACTCTGGTCTGTCTGCCTCTGTGATTTCATGGTCCTGCTTGCCCTCCCCCCCAGTAGCCAGCTCTGATCCAATTGCAAATCTGATCAAATCCAGTCCTAACCTTCATTGTTCTTCTCTCTCTTCAAAAATCTCTGAGGCTCCTCCTGACACTACCTTGCAGGGATGTGCCCCAGCCTCACCACCCCCTCGGGCACCCATCAGGTTCCAGGTGGTTCCCTCTGCCCGTGCTCTTAGCTGTCCACAGTGCAATCCCGGTGGCATCAGGCAGCTCACATAGTGCCCCAAACGCCCTGCCCATCATAGCACTGTCACACTGGGCTCTTGTCGCTCTCTCACTCATCTGCGTCCTGCACTGGGTGGCTGGCTCCATGAGAACAGGGAGGGGTCTTGTCACCCTTGGCACTCCCCCCCTTCCCGCATGGGAAGCTCTCTGTGGATGTTTACACCTGCCAGGCATTGTGCCGGTATTAAACCTTCCAGGGCCTTTTTTTGCAATCTGTAAGTTGGGTGAGGAGAAGCTGAGGACCGGTGACCCCTGTGTGGCGGGCTAGCGTAGTTGTTAAGTTCTTGGGCCCTGGAGGCAAATGGACCTGGGTTCAAGTCCTGGTCCGGCCTTACTCTGTGGCCACAGGCAAGTGATTTACCCTCCGGAGCCTCAGTTTTCTCACCAGCAAATTGGGCATGACCTGCTTGGGTTAGCCATAGGGCCAAACATGTTAAAATACCAAAAAGCTGTGGGTGCCTGGCACCAAATAGGTGCTTAGTAAATATTGGCAGGGGCAACAAATCGAGTATTTACTGAGCACCTAGCATGCCTGTGTGCTAGGTATCAAGAATCCAGAGGTTAACTGACACTCTCATTCATACAGTCTTCCAACAGTGTTTACTGAATGGTGTGTGCTGGGTACCGGGTACGTAACTGTTAACCGAGTTAACAGATAGTCTAGTCTGCAGAGAAGGGTGTTATTCAGACAGCTGCAAGCACGGAGGTTTGTGTACACACACACACACACAACCAGAAGCTCCAGAGCCCTATAAGAGCACAGACACACACACACACACACAACCGGAAGCTCCAGAGCCCTATAAGAGCACAGACACACACACACACACACACAACCGGAAGCTCCAGAGCTCCAGAGCCCTATAAGAGCACAGACACACACACACACACACACACACACAACCGGAAGCTCCAGAGCCCTATAAGAGCGCACACACACACACACACACACACACACACACCCCGGAAGCTCCAGAGCCCTATAAGAGCACAGAGCTGGGATCTGCAACAGGAGAAGTCAGGCTAGGCTTTGTGGGGGAAGTGATGTTTGCAGGCAGATTGAAGGGTGAGTGGGAGTTAACCAGGCGAGGCAGCGTGGAGGTCAGGGTTCCACGCTCAGGGAAAAGCAGGCACAAAGCCCCAGGGCCTGGCACGGTTCAGGAAGTGGCAGCAGGAGATGGGAGAGGAGGTCAGCAAGGCCAGTGGGCCAGGCCACACAGGATCCACTGGCCCCTGTAACGAGAAACCCCTAGACAAGGACAGGGCACCATCTGATTATCCTTTTGAAAGGCTCCCTGTCGCTGCTGGGTGGAGAGCAAACGGGGAGTGGCAGCAGGACTGGATCGGAGAGGTGGTGAAGGAGGGGTGCAGAGCAGCGCACTGGGGCTTGCCTGCCTGGGTTCAAGTCCAGGCTCCTCCACTGGGGCAGGGGGCACTGCTCTGGACCTGTTTCCTTGCTGGCCAAACGGGGGTTGTCAGGAGTGAGTTATTCTCATTTCCCATGAAGAAACTGAGACCCCAGAGCCATTCAGGGGCTGGAATTGAAGCCCCAGGCCCCAGCGATCATGTGCTTAACCACGGCCGTGAGTCACCCGAGTGAGTCAGTCGCGTGTAGGACCCAGCCAGGCACACAATAGGTGAGCCCTGCTGTGTGGGTGGGGAGCGGGGACAAGAGCAGGAAGCGGGGCTTGGGGAGGCAGGAGACCCCTGCAGCAGGGACTCCAGGCTGCCAGCCATGCCCTTGGCTGGTCCCTGACACGTCCTGGTTTTTGGGTATTCTGAGGTCACGCAAGGTGTAGAGAGAGGTGGGGGGGCGGCAGTGGGGTGAAGGGGGGTGCCCCTCGGGGTCGCCCCCTGAGCCCGCGCCCCCCTCCTGCTGCAGCCTTCGTGACCCTGCTGAACGGGGAGCAGGCCGAGGCTGCCATCCGTGCCTTCCACCAGAGCCACCTGCGGGAGCGCGAGCTGTCCGTGCAGCTGCAGCCCACAGACGCCCTGCTGTGCGTGGCCAACCTGCCCCCCAGCTTCACCCAGCAGCAGTTCGAGGAGCTGGTGCGGCCCTTCGGCAGCCTGGAGCGCTGCTTTCTGGTCTACAGCGAGCGCACCGGCCACTCCAAGGGCTACGGCTTCGCGGAGTACATGAAGAAGGACTCGGCTGCCCGCGCCAAGTCGGACCTGCTGGGCAAGCCGCTGGGCCCGCGCACCCTCTACGTGCACTGGACAGATGCCGG